CCCAACCTTCCTTTGATAAGGTAGAGCCCTTGCGCCATTTTTTCTAACTTGTTAGAGAGCTAATTTGATGAACAGTTCAGTTTCTTCAGTAGTCCACAATGCCTTCTCCTTACTCATTTTACTATCAAAATATTACATTCTTAATAATTAATTAACATAAATTAGACCTATTTGTCAACCCACATTTAACTGGAATAAAGCAACTAATAATTAATTAAGTAAAATCATCCAATGTTCATTTATGAAACCATACCAAAACCCATAATTCAACATTAGTTTGAACAAAAAAAAACTTGAAAATACACACATAAACACACATAAATTCAGAATAATTCACTAGTAGTTGAGCACAGAAAAATTTTAAAACACACATTCTCAGAAAGGAAATCAAAACCCAAGAATCAGTCATTGATTATAAAAAAATTTACAAAAATATACAAAAGGCAGAACTAATTTGAACTTAAATAATTCAAGATCTGAAAACAGAACCAAGCATTTCCACCATTCTGGTTCCTATTCATTCAGCATAACAAAAGTTTGAACCATACACACAGAGCACAACTACGTTCAGATTCACAACATTCATGTTCATTGAGTATGAGAAAAGTTTGAACCAATCCTTCTTCTTCAATGTTCAGATTCCTAACGTCCAGAAGCTTTCAAGTTTTGGATTACTATGCAAGTGGAAGAAACGGTCAACAGAGCAGAAGAAGTAACTTCAACAAAAAAAACAGAGCATAAGCAATCTGGAGAAAAAATTAGAGGACCACCCAGCGTCCAAGACCGAAAAGAAGCTCTAACCGTCCGAATGTTCGAGTGTCTGAGTTCAGTTCAGCCCTCAGGTGTTTTTACTTCTGTCAGCTTCACAATGCCATCCAAGACCCAAAAGAAGCTCGATCCATGAGCTACAAACAGAAAATAGCGACTGGAATGATGAGGAAGGATGATAGAACAAGACCACGAGCTCAGCGAAGGAAGAAAAGTCAGATCTGTGACTAAAGATGGTGGGGGAGAGATGGAGGAAGAAGGACGATAGTCACCGGAGATCTGACGGTGGACGAGGTGGATTAGGCAAACCAGAGCACAACACAGAGAAGAGAGAACGAAGAAGTCAGATCTGTGACTAAAGATGGTGGGGGAAGACGGAGAAGAATGACGAGAGTTACCGAAATATGACAGAGGCGGACTGATAGTGGACGAGGCGGAAGAGGTGGACAAGAGCAAAGCACAGAGAAGAGAGAACTGAGATGAAGAGAGGCGAGTTCTGAAGAACGAAGAAGACCAGTTCGGGCAAGAGGAAAGACAAATATGAAGCCAGGGGTATCGTGGTCATTTTAAATAATGGGTATTATATTTTTCTTCAACTGACTTTTTAAAAGCTCCAAATATCAACTTTCAATTTTTTCCGTTTCAACTAAGTTCGAAAGCACTTTTAGAAAGTTAATTTTAAACTTTAAATAATCCCCAAACACCATTTAACTTTCTCAAAGTAAAAAATAACTTTTTGAATGTAAAACGTTGGTTTTCCAAACGCAACCAGGAAATGAGTAAGCATCTAGATTACATTTTTTGATTATGAAAACATAAAAATTTGCTCCAAACCTTGTAATTGAAGCTGAAGTTTTCCAATCAGTCCTTTTGGTTGCATTCTGTGACTCTAAAAACAAAAAACTTTGTGGGTAATTTAAAATTATATCTATAAGTACTTTTTGAGACTTGAGATTTATGTCATGTTTCTAACCCTAATAACTCTTTGACTCAACTCACCAAAACTTTTTGTCATGATAAAAAACATAAAAATTTGCTGTAAACCTTGTAATTGAAGCTGAAAATTTCCAATCAATCCTTCTGATCGATAATCCCACCCATGCACTATATCTGCATTCCAGTTGATGTTTATCTGAATGGATCGAGAATTACCATTTCTTCATATTTAAGGCTGAAACTTGGAGAAATACAGTGACAGAAGGGGTCGTGGTGCCTCAACGTTTCGAATTTTTCTGTATACTATATATGGATATTCTGTCTCCCTAACTCCAAAAATTTATACAAATTTTATACCATATATATGTTTTCTAATGTCAGCCACTCAATTAAATTCTCACTGCCAAGAATTTGTAAGAATTTAATTATAGCCCTTCATATTTATGGCCAGCTCCAAGCCTAGATTAAGGAAGAGAATTGTATTAAACCCTTAACAGTTAGCATAAAACTCAGTCAAATTTCACATGAACAACCTTTTAATTAACATTTCTAAAAACTTGATTAATTATATAACACAATAACGTCAAATAACATGAGTTCAATACACGAAATCAAATCAAGTTTGATCCACCTTGACTCTATGAGAGATTATGCAAAAGCTATTTTTCATCAGAGCATGTTCTTTTACAAGTGTCTTCCTACTAAACACGATCATATTCAAGGTGCAATTAATCATTGAATGTGAGCATCTCTTCCTGTGAAAATCTCCTCTGGCAAAAATTTAAGCACTAGTTCATGACAACACCTTGTGAAAAACTAAACCTTCTAGACTCTACTGTCATTAGTGTTGGTAAATATACTTTTGTTTCCACACTAGCATATGGTTGGCTGAAGGCAAAGAGGAACAGAAACAAAAAAAGCCAGCTCAAGAATACCCTCAACAAAACGAACGTTAATTACTTTTAACATGATTCAATAATAATGATTATTTTTCAAGACACATACCATTCCATAACACTTAAGGGACTGACTCTAAACTATTCTACTCATTTAAGCAAAGCTTATGTATACAAATTGTTCTTTCAGGAGAAAAAAGCATTGAGTCATTGGACATGGATATCAAGGATGTTTGAAGAGGAAGCAGCCTTAGGCATGGTTATGTAAAGAACACCATCCTTAACCTCAGCCTTAATTTTATCAAAAACCACATTCTCAGGCAAAACAATTCTACTGTTATACCTTCCATAGCTCTTAGCAGACCAAACTTCTCCGCCATCTTCTTCTTCTTCATCAACATTCTTCTTTCTTTCTTTCTCAGCCTTCACCACAAGCATCTTTTCTTCCACCCACACCTTCACATCCTCTTTGGTCATCCCAGGCATGTCAAATCTCATCTTGTATTCTTTCTCTCCCTCTTTTATCTCCCACGGTGTCCTTCCCCTGCGATGACCGCCACTGCTGCCGCTCGCCGCATTCGGCCACTCCCCACTGCTAAGAGCGAATGGGTCCTCCATCATCCTCTCCATTGTCTCCATCATATCCTGCACAGTCTTTGCCGTAGGAAATCGGTCCCACAGCCCTGCATTTAGTCATGACTCTGCTTTAGTTTTTCCATTTGAGAATTCTATTTGTTCCCAACAAAAGATGTATCAAGAAATTACATAGTCAATCTTCGAATGCAATGTTTCAGATGTCAAATCCCTCTTAACCAGGAAACAAATAACATTAAACCAAAAGACCTTTATCCCATAATTTCTTAGGAAATACACAGCATAATATAATTGACCATTTCAGGGAATGTTTTGAGCAATCTAAAAGACTACCCCTGGTACCGAAAACTGATAACCATACAAATAAAAAAAAAAATTACATGGCTTTAGAATATGTAATATGATTATGCAAATTGAAGCATGTCCTTGTATTTTACACAATTTGTAAGAGGAATTAAGCAAGTCAGCGGTTTACCTCCGGGTGGAGCGACTCTTGTTCTAGGGTGGGAAGGGTCCTTGTGTGGTCTTTGAAGATGGCTAAGTTTGTCTTTGATATCTCCAGTGGCCACAACCTTGACAGGCATGAAGGACCGTGTAAAACTGAAAGAGGACCTCGGTGAAGAAGAAGACAATGACGATGATGAGCCATATGGCGAGCGAAGATGAACTCCGAAACTTGAGGATAAAGCCTGAGTCATATTCTATAATGTACCGTCAACAAATGAAATGCTTACAACTCTACCAAAGCCAGAAATAAGATTCACAGGTTAGCAGAGAGAAATTGTAATATATAAAGGGAAAGGGGGGGTGAAATTTTCAAAATTGATTTGCAGGGCAGTGGAGGGATAAGGATTTGTGAGATATAAGGAAGTGAAACAGAAACGAGAGAAATATGGGGCCGCAAGGAAGCAATGAAAACAGAAAACAGAGGGTTCTCGAAAGCTCGACGTGGACTTGAGTTTCTCACATTCTAGATGTATCCAGAAACGCCTTATCGCAAAGATTTAGGGGTCCTCTCTCATACTAACCGCAGGCTTGTTCGTTTTTGCTTCACCCAAAAGGCCTACGGTCATCATGAACTTTAACTACATGTCAATTTTGTCCTCACCATTTGAAATCTGAACCTCATGCCCCTGAGACGGTGAGACTAATGCACACTCTTGTCTTCTATAGTTATTAGTTAGTAAGTCCCACCCGCTGGCATTTTTATGCTTTATACCCATTCCTCTAACCACTCTTTGCACGATTCGGTTTCGATGCTCATCATTCAAAAAATTTAAGCCATCTAGATTGGTCCAGATTTTTTCAATTTTAATTTTAATTTTATATTTTATAAAAATAAAATTTATAAATTTTTTGTAAATATATTTATCATCATTCTGATCAGTACTGATTTAATTTGAATGGTTCAATTTAATATTATAATTTTCATAAATTGACTATCTAGATGTACTCGGAACATTCTAAATTCAATACTAAATTTTTATCTGCAAGGTCTAGATTTAAATTTTTTATTTTTATTTTATATTTATTAAAATAAAAAATTGTTAAAAATTTTAATAAAATAAAAAATTATTAAAAATTTGATATTGAATCTATCTTGTCTAGAATACATCTAGATAGTCAGTTTATAAAAATTATAATATTAAATTGAACTACTCAAAATCTCAGATTGAATCAATATTGTTCATATTGATGATGAATATATTTATCAAAAATTTTATAAATTTTATCTTTATAAAATTAAAATTAAAATTGAAAAACTCTAGACTATCTAAATTAAAATCTAAATGGTCCAAATCTTTCTAGATGATGAGTATCGAAACTAAATCCCTCTCTACATCTCCCTTTAGGCCCTATTTAGTTACAGGGAAGAGGAGGGGAGGACAAGAAAAATTTAAAAAAATTTCTTCCCCCCCCCCCCACCCTAACTTATCAAACAAAGGGAGGGGAACCTCCCCTCCCTTTGTCCCATCTAAACAAGGGAAGGGGAGGGCTCCCCTCCCACCTCAGGGAAGGGAAGATTTTTTAAAATCTTCCCTCTTATCCCCTTCTCTTCTCTCCCTTCTAACCAAACACTACTTCAATGATTCATTTTTATTTTGCTTTTTACACTCTCAAATACCTTTGTACTTGATATCTTCTCATCTCTCACCCCTCTATATATGCTTCTAGTCATATTTAACACTCTAAAATTTCATTTTAACTTTTCGTGAAAATATGATTAAATAATTAAATCTTAATTATTAAGCATTTATAATGGTAGAAAAGTATTTACTATGATACATAAATGTTTATCATGGTAGAAAGGGTTTTAAATATCATTTTCAAACTCCACCATGATAGAAAAGAGTCCACAATGATACTAAAGAGTTAAATTTATTTTATAAAAGTTTATTATAGTAGAAAAGAGTTTTTCTTACAATAAAATATTTTTCAAATAGACTACCATGACCAAAAATGTTTAAACAAAACAAAATAACCCTCCTATTTAAGAACTAAGTAAGTTACATAAATAAATATCAATGGAAAAGAATATTAAATAAAATGAACCTAATGGGATTCCATTGAAAACCAATATTCAAAATCCACTATTTGATTTAAAATCATAAATAAGCATAAAGCATTGTTCCCATGACAGTTTAAATTCAAATATTGTATTAATCACAAATAATAGTTGACAAAGTGACTCAAGTATACATCCATGATAAGTACATTAAACTCTGGTCAAGAAGACCACACTTTTCAAACATAAATTTAATTATCAATACCCAACATGGGTCCAAACAATACTTTACACAGTTTGCTAACATTACACAACTAGAGTTCTCACAATGGTGTACACTTGGCTACGATACAACTACATCAAACATCATATCATAAAACACATTATAAACATGTATGAAGAAAAATTATAGTTAGATTACAACCAACCAATACATGCACACTCAAGGCGAAATTGATAAAAAATTATCAAATCTCTAAAATATAATTTAAATACTTTAGTCAAATCAAAGGAGACCATCATTGTCATACACCAATTTCATGGCTACAGTTTAAGTGAGTCATATTAAAGTCAAAAGTCATTATGTTCTAAATAATGTGTTTTAAGTTGGCAATTATACATTACTAACAAAAATGAGGCATAACATAGATAAAGTGGTGTCTCATACACCAAATGTAAGCCTTAGGTGTTCCTTTGACTTGTCCAGCTCTCGTAAAAATATTAATCACGAGAAATGAAATATAAAGGTCATAGTAATCAATACTAAAATGTTACAATGCATGCAATGCAATTATTCATGCAATTGCTAAGTGGGGTAAACAAGATTATTTTTCAAACATATGTTATTTAATAATCCAAACAAAAATATTTTGCATTACAATACCTTATCCCCTTTCATACATCATGCCCGGCACCAAGTCACCTGGTCAAAGGTGAGTTGCTTCAAACTAATAGCCACTTATTGGGTCTATTAAAAGTCTTACCACATGATAGATAATCTTTGAACAAAATCTCTAATATCACATATTTCAAAACAAACCCAACAAGTCATGCATCAAGAGTTTTCCAAACAAAAATATTTTTGAATGTAAATCATGTTTTCGAAAATGTTCTTTCTAATATAATATTTTTCAACCAATAATTGATTTCAATAAAACACACATAATCGGTCACAAGGCACATACTATAATAAATTAATAGAAATTACCTTTACTCCAAGCAATTAAAGTTTTTTGAACAAGTGATTTCTCACCACCAATACTTTCAACATCTCCAAAATTCATTTAGCAAAAATCTAACCATAACAATTTAGGGTTTAACTCATAATCATCAAGTTCAAATTTCAACCCCAAAATCATGCTTTAAAACATCCATTACACTTTCATTAACCTCAACAGCTAGATTCAATGCCCACAAATTTGAATCTTAACCCCATAGAAAAACCTAACTAAAAAAATCATCTCCAAATCTAAAGGAAAATTAGGTAAAATAGGAGAGAAATGGGCTAGGAACTTACTTCAAGTGATTCCTAGGCTTGAAAACCACTTGAACCCACTGAATTTTCATACCTTAATAGAGCTCTTGCCTTTTTGTTTCCAGTTTTTCTCGCACAACTGATCTGATTTCTTGAACAGGGATTGTTAAATGTGTCTATGTCCACGTGCAATTGATCCTTCACATTTCATGTTCGTGCAAGGTCATAGCCACTTAAGGCAGTCTCACCTTCTCTATTGATGTCCACAAGCAGTCAAAAGCAAAGTGGACAGATCCTACTTAAACCTCACTCTATTGGGCCTGACTGAAGCCAAATACCTATTTTGGACTTCCAAACACCCTCATGCATGACCTTAAGCCTAAATTAATCATTAATTAAGCACCCTATCATGCAATTACCCTCAAGTCACCTCAGTTAAGTGTGCTTTTACCATCAAATCCTCAATTATTCATATTTCCCTCTGATTAATTTTCTAGTTTAAAAATTAGGATGTTACCTCATGCCTCACTCTTGTCTCTGCCATTTTCCAGCAAACCTCCGACCGTGGCCACTTCTACTTGCCCTGGGCCCACGATAACTTTCGCGGCTCCGTCCATCGCCTCAAATCCCTCCTTAACGACAACCTCAATGATGACAAGTGGTTCTACGTCATGTCCTTGACCCGCACTTCCCCCTCGTCCTCGTTTCCTTCCCCTCCTCCCTCCCCGCCAAGGCCTCTCCTCGTCTTCCTACTCTCTCCTCTCTTTGAACTAACCAGCGCTACCACTATCAGGGCCACCGGTCAAATAAATGATGGTGTTCAGGGTATGGATGAACACTAGCACGCCAAGAGAATGGAATAGTTGCTAAAGAAAAATGGCGAAGGAAGATGAACCAAGAGAAACCAAGTGCAGAGGTGGCCATGGGGGAAAGTTTGCAGCAAAAATTTGAGATTCGAATAAGCATGGAGCTCGAATGTGGCTGGGCACTTTCAACACAGCAGAAGGAGCGGCGAGAACCTATGATTGTGCAGCTTTCGGGATGAGAGGGTCATTGGCCATTGTGAACTTCCTAGAAGCAGCCATCAGAATCGCTGTTCCTCGTCGTCTTCAATGGTGGAAACCCAGGGTAGAAGACGAGTGTTTGGATGATAAATTGTTAGAGAAGCTTCTTGATCATACGACGAGGTAGGAAGAGTAAAGGGCATGGTTCATTGTTGGGGAGTTCACTCACTTCTGCTGGAAGACACTTCATCTTCATGGTTAATTGTTGGGGGAGAGAGAGAGGGGAGATGGAGAAAGTGGTGATGAAATGGCTGAAGTGTTCTTGCATTCCAAAGTGAAAGCGCCCATAATTGATATTGATGAAGAAGAATAAGGGAATAATTGGATGGAATTAAAGCTAGGACATGATTGCTTCTGCAAATTCATTAACTGGTATTTATACTGCTCAGGTGGGGAGAGAGAGAGAGAGAAGAGGCAGATTTGGAGGAGTGAGAGACACATTAACTTTTTTTTATATTATAAAAAATATTAGTAGGACTTATTATATAATATTTTATAATAAAAAATATTAAAATGTGTTAAATGCGGGATCCAAATAATGGGAATAATGCCAAGGCGTTTAGGGATGAGTTTCTAACATTGAAAGCTAAAAGTGACTTATAGTTATAGTTGGAATTTAAGTTGATCATAAATTTTTTAGATAAAATTGATAGGTAAAAATAATCCTTAACTTAAGAATAAAATATTCATTTGATATTTCTCTTTTATATATATATATATATAATCATCATATATGTTTTCCGTTTACTTTACTTAAAACACAAATTTCATCTTAAATTTGAGAATTAATCTTTTTATATTTCTTGACTAAGTGTGACATTTCATTGATTTTATAATAAATTAATGGAAAAAATTATCAAATATAATTTTTTTTGCCAAGATATCAAATAGATACTTCTATGATCCAATTTATAGAAAAAGAGAGATTATTTATTTTAATCCTATTTATAGATACTTTAATGATTATTGTATTCATCTTTACCTTTTTGTCCCTATTAAATGGTGGGAATGCTATTAAATGCTAGAATATTTCATTTTTAAATATGTATAGTTAATATGGATAAAATTAAAAATTTGTTGAATTTTTAGATAAAATGAATGAAATTTAAGATTTTTTTTTTGTATTGGTTAAAATGTTTGAAGTGACTATAAATATGACCAGATGAAGTATTTTACATGGTTGAATCCATCATAAATATTACCTTCAATGAGTTTCTAGTTGTCTCTGGTTATTAATTTGTTATTTAGAGGACTTAATTAGTATTACTTTTTTATATATTATTTATATTTATTTGAATTTTTGAGATCTTGTTCTATAAGTTTTAGATTTTTTATTATAATTTCTATAGGCCAATTAACAATCAAATTAATCTCTATTAATGGCAAGGATGCATTGTCCTCCCTCATTTTCAAATTATAAAATAATTTTGGACGTATTTCGTTGCCCCACAATAAAACAATTTCTCAAAGATAATGTTTCTTTAATGATGCATTCTCTATATTACTTTTCAAGTGGAGAGACAATTGAAATGATTGTAAGTCCTTCTTTAATACTTTCTATAAATTACTTGTAATATATTTTATTAGAGTAATGAAAAGCCTTAAAAATTCTTTAACATAGTCTAAAAATTTACAAAATTTTTAACTTTATTTTTATTAAATATATATACTTTAATAATATATTTTTCTCTCTCCACATTCAATGAAGGGTAAAAAGATAATTTATAATAAAAATTTAATGACATAATTCATAATAAAATAAAAAAATTTCTCTCGATGTTATAAATAGGATTAGAGGGAGTAATGATTAAGTGTGCGTATTTAAAGTAATATTAAATGGAAGGTATTTTTAAAAGTTTGATTGCATGTTTACAAATAGTTTTTTTCTTTTGAAAAAAATGAAAAAAATTATTTAAAATGTGTTTTCTGTTATTTGCTCTGAAAAATAAAAAAAGTTTAAAAGTTATTGAGAAGACCTAAAAGCCAGGACATTCTTTAGACATTTTGTTTTTTTTTTCGCAAAACTAAAGAGAAGTCATGAAATATCATGTCTTCATCAATGTCAATTATGTTAATAAAATAAATTAATTTTTTATCTTTTATGTTATCAATTTAGATACTCTCTCTCCGTTAAAAAAAATATAAGATATTTTAAATAAATTTACTTTTAATAAGTAATTACTTACTTTTAAACTAACCATATTTTTTATATTTACTTTTATTAAACACTCTACAATAATATAAAGTTATTTAATAGGGACACTTTTAAGAAAAAAATAATTACAGCTCGAAAGATTAAAAATATCTTACATTTTTAAATATCTAACTCCTTAAAAAATATCTTACATTTTTAACAAAGGAGTTTGCTTTTCAAAATAATGATTCAATCATATTTTTTCATTTTTATTTTTAAAAACTAGTTTTGAAAAACTACTCTACATAATTATTCAAATAACATAAAAAAGGAAACAAAAATCAAACAAATCCTATATTTTTTATGTTAAAAAAATTTATAAAGTATCATTATTGTATTTTATTGTTATGCATAATCTTGTATTAAACTCTCTATAATTTAGGACAGAAATAGTATTTATTATATCCCTATTATCACCATTCCATGGTTAAGATGTATGACATCTTAATATCTATTATACCCTTATCATCATCATTTAATACTCTCTCTATCCCAATTTTTAAGATATTTTTAGATAAAATTATACATAAAGTTATTAAATACTCTTTATAACTTTATTTTTAAAATAAAAATATAAATTTTTAAAAATACTTTTTATTTAATAATCTTAAAATGAGAATAAATAAGAAAGGAAAGGTAATTAAAAATATTTGTTAAAACTTTGTTTTATCAAATTATTTTATATTTTAAAATATCAAATGACCTCTAAAATTACCTGATAATTAGCAAGGAGGGAGTGGTATTATATTTCACTATTATTTTGTTCATCGAAGGTTGCAAAGGATACAAAATCGCCATTTTCATTGTGACTCAGAATTATTTCTCAAACACTTCATCCAATGCATAAGGAATCCGCCTAATTAAACAAAGACCTCAGAAAGAGTCATGATGCTAATTACTTTTTGGGGATCAAAATGAGCAGAGCGAAGTCACTGAATTTGAAGAAAAACAATTAATCTATAAGTTATCATAATTTTTTCTCAATTTTATATTAGATTTTTATTTTGTTTTAATCAATTTTTTATAATTTAATCAATTAGATATATTAGTCTTTGAAGATTAAAATTTCTAATGACTAATTAACTTTTACAAAAAAAAAACAATTTTAAAATTTATAGAAAATTTGATATAATACTTTTGGTAAAAAAAATTGATTTAATATATTATTGACATTTTTATTAATTTTTTATGAAAATTATATTTGCATAAAAATTAGTTAGAAAATATAACCTAATCATATAAATTTTGAGTAATAAAAACCATACAACTAACTCTAAAATTTTTAATCTAGTTCTTAATTTTAATTTTACTTCAGATTGTTAAATCTGATAGATTTTTTTTTTTTTTTGCCAAAGAAATCTGATAGATTTAACTATAAGGATTCAAATAAAACAAAAAAATGTAAAGATCTAATTTAAAATTAAGATAAATTATAAAAATTTATAGATTAATTTAAAAAGAAAAAGAAAAATAAAAAAAAAGACAGACTTGATCAAGCTCCTAAGATTATGGCGTAACCTGACCGGTTTAAATAGTCCAAAATCGAAGTCTATTTAGATGCTTATGTGCCTAAACAATTAAGCTTAGTTTTTCAAAGCCTGCAAACCTTATCTATCTATCCATTATCCTTTTTTTTTTATATATACAAAAAAAAATTTAAATGAGTTGGATCGGACTCCTCCTTCAGGAATTATTCTAAATTATAATTATAAATTACATATATCATATGTAATTTGATATATGTAATTTAGTGGCATTTTAATTTAATTTATTTTGATTTCTTCTGGTAAAAAAAAAAAAGGTATTTTGATTTCTGAAGGAAAAAAAAGGTAATTTGATTTCATTCCCTAACCTAATATTCCAGTCTGAGCTCTTCGGACCTTCCGCTTCCGGTTGCTGTCAATCCTTCCACCGTTGCCTCCTTCAGATCTGTGAAATCTCAGGACTCGTCCTTGGCTGCCGTTGCTCGTCCTTGTTTAAAGCACTGTTCGAGCATCTATCCGATGGATGATTGAAGTAACATCAAAAGGCCATAACACCGTCGCCCTCTCTTACTCTTCCTCGTTGCCGCACCACTTCAGGTTCTTCTTGTGTTTTCTTTTGAGGCATTCTGAATTTTTCTAACTTCAAAGATTTCTCGAGTGTGTGAAACTTGGAAGAGATATGATTGCTGAGTTGAAAATTAAAAGCTGCGCAGTGTGCCCGTGAACTAGATTGAAGTAACTGTTGAGTTTCTGATTGAAGTGACTGATGAAATTCAAAATGGAAGAACAGAAGAAATTCACGAAGTAGATTGTTTAGTAATTCTTGATGGGGCTTATCTATTTTCAAGTCTGCTAGTTGTAGTTTGTCAGAAGATTAATGGGACCATTAGCTGCGATTGATCAATCTCTGCAACTAATAGGAATATTAAGAAAGGTCTGGTGGACGGTGGTGGGTAAGTAGAGCCTATAAAAAGCAGCCTAGTTTGTATAAGCGAGCATGAGAATTGTGATCAATCTTTGATTGGATATCGTGAGTTTTTCATCATTTTTCTCAAAAGGATAGGTTACATTTTAATTTGTATCTAGATGCATTTAACTGTAACGTATTTCGTATTTGCTGAAGGCGTATTTCAATGTTACCATTATTTGTTAGTGATGAACTTTCTCTTCTTATTTCTTACTTCCTAGTATATTCTTCACTGTACCTATAGTATACTCCCTCCAGTCCAAAATATATGCTATTTTCTACCAGCGATTGTTGGTTCATTTGAAACACTTTGTAAAAAGTCTATAGCATTAAATACCTTTGTTTCAAGTGCTTTTATTTTGGCCTAATTTGGCTTCAAGAGCTGAGTTCCAAACATTTATGCTCTGATAAAATGAGATATCAGGTGTGGGCTTTTCCTGATATGTCCCCCCCCCAAAAAAACCTTGAGTAATTTATATTGCTTTAGATTTGAAATAATGATGCATGAAAGATTTTGGCAGTGAATTTCCTCGTGTTTATAATTTTTCTTTTATCACTGTGTGTGGATAATCTGAATTAACAAGTCACCTGGAAACTTCATAGGTTTTCATTGTTTTGTTGGAAGTGTACAGCATATGCAATAGTGTGAAAGAGCAGCTCAACTTGCATATTAGTAATGGTGGAGGTGTGGTGGTCTCTGTTGGGGGCTGCAATCCCGGCTGTCATTGCAGGACAAGCTTTTAGAGTGAAGAAAAGGCATGCTGAAGAGCAGAGGCTGAAAAGTGCAAGGGGAAGGGAGAAGAGTTCTGATGACATTTTTGTGTGTGAACGGGTTTGCACGTCAAAGAGGATGCTGAAGAAGGTCGGCTCGTTCTCGAAAGACCCCATTCCTGATACTTGTGTTACTGTCTGTGGTGTCTCTGAGCTTGATGCATGTGCTGATGCCTGTGCTCGTACTGTGTGTGTTAACCAACATCAAGTACCTAATTGGAATGACATATGCCTTCGGAGGTGCCAGAGTGAATGCCTAAAACTATCTGAATCTCATTCTTCCTAGGAATTTGCATGCAGAGAAGTATGTGTTGATATTCTGATTCGAGATTCCGAGTTTTGGAATGGTTGTTGATGTCTTTTGGCATCATGGTAACTCCATTTTTAGTATCACTGCTAAATGCTAAATGCTAAATGCTTGTAGATGGGTGAGCTTATTCTGCATTATTCAAAACTATGGTCCTCAGAGAATACCGAGACAATTAGACAAAGAACAGATGCTTTTTCGGCAGTGTATCCTTTCGCAATCAACTTCTCTTCTCATGTTTGATCATTTATGTGTTGCTTGCTTTATTTGTATCCCTTGCTTATGTGTCCCTTGGTTTTGTTTCTTGGTTTCAGTCTGCAATGCACGCACAAGCACTTGCATTGAGAACTTTTATTGTTTAACGTATATTATATATATTCTCAGGGAAAAAAAAAAGGAAGGAAGAGAAGAAGATTATTCAATTTCTAGTTGACAATCAAACACATTCAAAATTACTGAAATCATGCAGATATTTGGGTTAGCTTGGCGGGTTCCGGTGTATTATAAACTTTGTTCGGCAGTGTCAATCCAGCAATGTGTCGCTTAAATGACCATACAGGGGGAACTATCATAGAATGTAGTGGTTAGCTTTGGCAAGGTGTTCTCCAATCCTAAAGTATGTATTTGAAGATTCTGATTTGGAGATATTTATGCTTAAAATTTTTTATTTTAAATATACAATTTTTTTTCAAAAAGTTATGATTTAAAATTTAAACTTTGCTTGCAAAATTGCAATTTATTATGACTTTAAATAAAAAAAAACTTCCAAGTATTTTCATATTATATTATAGTGGTGTTCATAAGACGGAATCAGGACACCCTTATCTCATGTCTTGTCTCAAAAAAAGATTGAAATTAAATTTTTATCTTGTGTTCCGTCCCGTCCCGTCCCATTTCATTCGAAATTGGGATGAAATCGTCGTTCTGATAAATGATATTAGAAAAAGATTTAAATAATAATATTTATTAAAATTTTAAATCATATGATTTATAAATTTTAAAATCAAAACAACATAAGTACATAAATTACAATTTAAAATTAATTATTGAATTATACTAATTATTGTTACACATCATGATAGCAATTACAAGTTATCTTTAGAGTATAAAAACAGCAACAACAAGCAAGTCAAGCATAACATCAAATTATTATTATTTTACTTTAATTGAGATGTGCAAATTAATTACTCTTTCAAAAATAAAATAAGAAATGCGATATAAATAAAATTTATTAAATAGATAGATATAAGAAAAAATTATATTAATATAATTAATATATTACAAAGAATGATATCACCGATTTATTCTATGTCATTAAAATTATTAATATAAAAAATTTTAGTTTTGTATAATAATTACAAGTATTGAAATTATAATTGATACAATTAATATAAATATAAATTATATTAATATAATTAATATATTTAATGTATATTTTTAAAATAAAAAATTATAAAAAATTTGTGTGAGAGAGAGAGATTTGGGAAGCGACATGACATTCTAATGGTAGTTCCATATCTCATCGTATTCCAAACTCTTTTTTCATTCTGTCCCACAAAATTCCATCTCAATTGCTTTTGAGTTAGGATGAGATCTGTCCATATATAATTGGGATGATATTAGGCCAATTAAAATAGATATAAATTGAACACCCATACTATATTGTATTGTAAAGTGGATGAATGAGAAAAAAATTGAAGGACCAAAAATAAAGTTAAAGGACATTTTTGCATTTTTAACTATTTGTAGAATATACTTGATTTATGAGTGAATTTTCTTTTTCATACTAATTATAAATATATGAAGGATGACTTCAAAATTTCACAAAAAGCCTCATAAATTATTACACTATTTTAATTTATAATTCAATTACTATAAAAATATATTTATTTAAATCTTGAACACATTAGTTGGGTTGTAAATTTTTGAAGTAACATAATTTATCACACTATTTAAATTTATAACTTAGTTAATGTGAAAAAGCACGTTTACGTATAAAACTCTAATATATTAGTTGAACTGTTAATTTTTTTAGGGATTCATAAATTTCAGGGGAAGACTTATAAATAATAATATTATTAAATTATTAAATATTAAAGTATTAGTATTTTAGCGAGACATTTTTGAAACAAATATATTATATTTCCTTACTTACCAGGTTTGCCAAAAATGGTGATTCAATAATCACTCCACAGCCAATCAAAGTGATTGGTCAATTCAATCTTGAATTTTTTTATATATGTAAGAAATAATAGTTGTCTCTTACTACACTAAAAAATATAAGACATTTTTTGAGAAGTTAAATGTTAAAAAATGTAAAACATTTTTAATCTTTTAAGGTGTAATCATTGCCTTTTTTTTTTTTTCAAAAGTGTCCTTATTGATAATAATTTTATATTTATTATAAGGTGTTTAATAGGGGTAAATATAAAAAGACAGAGTTATTTAAAAAGTAGGTAATTACTTTATCAAGGAGTGAAATTTGATTAAAAATGCTTTATATTTTTAAATGGAGGGAGTAATACTTATTCATAATCTAGGGAAGTCAATAGACATTTGTTTTCTTATAAGGTATAAGATAATTTTTGGATTTTTTGATAATTTTCTAGATCTTTTTATAATTTTTGTGATCTTAAAAGTTAAGATTTGTTAATAGTAAAAGCAACATTGTATTGTTTCTAATTATTTGAGGAGAATACTGCATCACAAAAAAAAAAAATGTAAAATACCAGAAGTTGAGAAGCAAAAATACTCTTAATTACAAATTTTGAGGTAGCTGTGGTCATGTTTGCCCTAAATTATAGTGTATATGCTGAGGCCACTGCTAGTTCTACATGTGCTTGTAACAAAAATTTCAAATAGCCTTTTCTCATTGTAAACAGAAGTCTTACATGATTATGTTATCGCATGAGCAGATTCAAAGTTCTACTGAGGGAACCAAAATTCCAATGCATGGTCAGGTTGATAACAAGTCTTCAAATAAATTTAACAAATTCGTGTCAAACAAAACGCATGGAATTTCACAACTCAGTAATTTTGTACAACAGTTCCCCCAACCATAGAATTTCTGATCAGCGTCAAGAAGCTGGTGTTCTTAGAGAAGATGTTGAGTATAGCAGCTTCCCAGTGAAGCAGTCTATTTATATACACCAGATGAAGCTTCATGATCTCAGAAGGGTTAATTGCTGCAGATAACAAGTCAAGCAATTGTTTCCAGCTATACATTCATCCTTTAACGCTGGACATTGAAACAACAGTCACATAAAACCTTCATAACAAAATATAATATGAAAGCCATGCTATTTGTAGAGTGTAAACTACTAAATGTGTGGCTCATCTGTTATCCCAGACTCAGTATGAACAAAGGGCCCAAAAGCATGTCATTAAATGATTCAGGCATAAGGAAATTTTCAAAATTGAAAAGGGAATCTAAAGTTCCCTCCTGAGAACACAGACACTTAGGCATCATATAATGTACGCACATGCAATGATCTGGAAATGTAAGAGTAGGAACCAGGTGTCATCCAATGGAGACTAGATCCTTATCATCACGTGAACATACATTATATGGTAAGCACGAACATGCACTAAATTAAAACATAACTTACTTAGCTTTCTCTGCTGTATCTTCCTCTGACTCCTCAGTCGTGGTAGAATTCAACGCGGTTATCTTCCCAAAGGACTCCTTTGCATCTCCAAAGAAGTCTTTCACTTTATCAAGTACAGTTTTAAGCTTATCTTTTGTAGGAAGCTTCAATTTGGAAATGCAAGCACAGCAAAATATTACGGGGGAATATCATAAAATGGTATCTAACTAAAGAGCAAACACTTTGAAATGTGCATGCACAAAACTAAAAGCCTCTAAGGTTCAAACCTAGAAATTTTAGTGATAACGAATCAATGATAATGGACATTTGCCTCGATGGGAATGTTAGCAAGCAACATCTTCTGTTCATTACTTTTATTAGGGTTATGGAAAAATGTAACAAAAATACAACATGATAAAAATCTGAGGAATATTACCTCAATAACATCTGAAGAAGAGACTGCAGCTCTAATATTGCCATTTTCCTGCAAATTTATTGCATGAAAAACTAACATAAATAAAAAGGTCTCTTGGTTATCACACTGGTGAAAGCAAACATCTCCGTTGCTCAAATTATTAAATATGGAATCTGTAAAATGCTATAAGAACATTACAATAAGTTTGTAGCCATATCTGAAATCAGTAGCATTGCGGAGCACTCGGTGCTGCTTGAATGCAGTTTTCTGTATTTCCTTTTCATCCTATTTGAGGTTTAGCAAGCAGTCAGTAAGATAGAGGCAAGCATAACCAATAAAGCATTATGATGATTTTATAAGATCTCAAATAAGCATCAGCCCTGCAGCACAATAACTTTCAAATGAAATTTGTAAGTAAACGAAATTAATGCATCTTCTGTCAATTGATTCAGCAATAATTTTACCAAAGAAGTCCATGAATGAAGATTGGTACTGACAATCCATGCCTTCCAAATTCAAAATAGACGCTTTTTGAGACAATGCAATACAGCCAACCAAAACATATGCATAATGATATGAATGCAAGAACTGCACAAAGAGCACAGATTTAGCAGCATATCAACTTTACAATGAAATAAAATGTTGTAGAACTCGTACATTTCTTGCATTCAGTAATAAGTTTCACTGAACAAGTTCAGGCATGCAGATTGCCACGACAAACTGAAAATGCATGTCTTCCATGTTCATATATAGGTGTTGTGAGTTGTGATACTGCAAGAAGGCTTCTTTTTATGTCTAAGATGAAAAAGCTCAACAAGCAACAAAAACAACCAGTTTCATGGCACCAATGAATTCAACTTTCTGAAGTTTTTAAGTCAGAGTTAATAATGTCATTAAAAAACTAGTATATCAGACAAAATGAGAAAGAACCTACCCGGTAAATAACTGCTGCAAGATTCCTATCAAGGGTATCTTTGTAAATGTATTTCCCCAAAAAATTATCTTTTGCAGCAACCATGATTTTAGCAGTGGTTCCACCAGTTACTATGCTAAGAGGGTACCAAAGATACACCTGACGAGAACGATAAATTAGATTGAACTCCAATGAATGAGAGGGCAAGCAGAAATAAGATCACAATTTAATCAGCAGCTGAAATAGAAGCCCTGATCGAATGCCATAAGATAGATCAAGCACAAATCCAAGGGTTACAATAATCAAGTCGACGATGACACCTTTTCTTGTTTGTAATATATCTGATAGAAA